TCGTTTGTCGCTCGAAGACTTCTTTTCGTTCTGGAACCTTGAAATATAGTTTCTTGCATGCAGTTTTTAATGCTGAATAAGAAAAACATAGTTTCATGGCTTCAAAATGAGGTGGAAGCAAGTTATTCAGTTTTTTAAAAAAATTAGTAGTTTTTCAAAATAAGAGATTCTTCAAGTTTTTTGAATTTTTTTCACTGATAATTTACACTGGGAAGACTAAAAACCAGATATTCTTGATCAGCGTGAAATTCTCTATCGAATGATGTATGATTAAGCCGAAAATAAAGTAGTACTGTAACTTCGAATTTGAGCGCCTTATTTAAAAATAAAAAAATATGGAGGGAATACTGCCACAATTCAAGTTGAACAATTATTTATTTTTACAGTATATAGAAAAAATATTCGATATGTTTTTTTTGTAGAGAATGAAATGGTGAATCGTTTAAAAGGAAGTTTAAGTCTACACAGTGAAAAAGTTATTTAAAAAATACGGAGGGGGCATTTATTTCTGAAGCACCCGTTACATGTTAAGTGATGCAATTTTGTAAGTATTGTGCGAACTGATTGTTTAAAAAAGTCATATTTAAGTCCGAGGACAAGAAACTGATTTAAATTTAGCTTCATTAAATTTAATTCTTCGCGTTTTGAATACAGTATCCATTTTCACATATAAAACATATTCTAAAAGATAAACTTTTATACGATCAGAACATGGCGACAAAAAAGTTATTTATTTCAACACTCGTCTTTATTTTTGCGATCTTTTAGTAACGCTACCGACAATTCTGATGACAGTAATGACTAAAACGACCTAGAGATTCTGTATTAGAGAGTCAACCATTTTTAAGAAGTTTACATATATGCCTGTTTACCACGAGTTTCTTGAGAGAATTTTTCTAAGAATTCATTCCAGATTTTTTCTTTTTCACTTTTCATTCGTTCGTTTGCTTATTTATGTATATTTTGTTACATCTGTCTGTAACTTTCTGGTTCTCGTTGTTACGAGCTATAAACTAATAAATAAAAGTTAGACTAGAAAAAAATAAATGAAGAAAAACTATTCAACAGTACGGTGGCCTACTAACTGTAAACTACGTATTCTCGACGTTTATGAATTCTTTTCCAAAAACAAACAAAACATTGACAACCGATCTGGCATAGTTGATAGGTTTCAAAATGTTACTTCAACTCACTTACTTTGAAATTTCTTTTGCTGATATTTACATCCGTGTTTGACTTTAAATTGACAACAAACAATTAAATTGATTAAATAAATTATCAGTGTGGCACCGATTTTGGCTAGTGCAGCACCCATGCGGCACTGATTTTTGCCAGTGCGGCACCCATGCGGCAGAAATATAGCGGCACTGGTTCGGCACTTGCTGGGCACGGGTGCGCACTGGAGTTTTTTTTATAGGGTAGTTTTTCCTATAGTGGAACCGAAGTTCCTTGGTCCAAACCATTTCCGTAACTACATACCTTTTACTTTATTATCGTAACCCATTTGGGAGCTAATGAGCGTTGATTTTTCACTAAATATAACTGGCAATGGAGAAAGTTGTTTCACTTGGTATACTACTAGTTGAAATTGCTATATAACGTTTTGTAATCCTATTCATTCTCCACAAGATCAACACCGTTCATATAAAATAAAATTCACGTTCACCAGAACACTTGCGTTCACATTCAAGAAACGCCAACGTATTTTAGCGTTCATGTTCAAAGACAACGCTGAATGTTTGCAGCCCTAAATACTATTGGATGATGAAAAGATTTGAAAATCATCGGATTGTCTACCGTAGTACAATCAAATTTTTACTCTGTACAATCAAAGTGACTGACTACTTCTAATAGTTGACATCTAACTGATGCCCTTTAACAACAAATAAACTTCATTTTATCCTATAAAGACAATAAAGAAGAAAGACAAGGAAATAAAAAGATGAAGAGTGGATCAGAGTATTATGTTTTCTATTAGTTAGGAAATTATAATTTGTTTTGAGTAATAATATAACCATTCTCTTTTTCTTCACATTTTTAAGTTATAAACAAATATGTACATTTCATATTTTTTGATAATACAAACACAACTACATAGCAACGAAAATGAAAAATAAAATATCAACAGATAAATAGATTTAGAGTTTTATCACTAATCAAAATAGGTTAAAAAACTTCTCAAATATTCTGATGTACTTATATCATATTCATTGTAATCAAATAATTTTTCTCTATTTTTTTCCATATAGTAGATAAAATGTTGTATACGTCCTAATAAAATTGAATATTCATCATCATCACCACCAACACCAGATTTTGGCATCATCAAACGTAAATAATCTTTAATTCGCCAAAAAAATCTTAATAAATGAAATGAACTGTATATATCGCATAATTGTATTGGTGATGGATGAGTTTCAAGTATTTCTTTCAATTGTAAACGTTCAAATCTAGAATAAATAAAAGAGAATTTAAAGAAAATAGTATTAGAAAACGAAACAAATCAATTTCATTTACCTATATAGTAATGATTTTGAAAGTGCTATATTAAACATTTCTTTTATAGATGTTATAAAATGTTTAATTTGCACTACTTGTGCAAGTGTACACTCATTTATTTGTAATTGTAAATAATCTTCAAATATTTGTTTAATATTTAAATAATCTTTTCTTGGTGGTATAATAACAAGATGATTTTGTTCTGTGATATGATCACGATCATTTACCAAAATTTCTACAAGTTCAATGGGAAATTTAATCCAATCAATATTATAATCATAATAACGTCGAACTAATTGATTAGCTAATTCATTTGATGATAATTTTAATTGTTTTGAAAACTGATTATTGTTTGTTCGATTATTAACAGTGGCAAGTGACTGACCACGTTCATAACGAGACGATGATGTCGTGGATGATGGTGATTTATTTTTTTCTAATGATAGATCACACGATAATGATGTACCATAACGAAAAGATTGTTGTTGTTCTTCACTAATATCGTTTAGATGATTATGAATACCATTTGACATAGATTTTAACGATGATGTATCAATATCTGACTCTAAAATCATTTCTAGAATATAGTAACGGTAATTTTTAGTTTTTTCAGTAAATTTTGTAGTTCAATGATAGTTTTGTACAACAATTTTGTAGTTTGATTCAAAGGAAATAATTTCTCATTACTTACTTTTATCATTCTTGATTTTTTTTGTTCGTTTAAATTTTTTTGTTGGTGGTTGTTCAAGTTCATTAATAGATTCCACACCAATATCACTTGTTTTAGATGTCACTTCACTACTACCCGTATCTGACTGATAATAATCATCACCACCACCAGTACGACTTGATAAAGATGGTGTTCTTTCATCATTTGTTGTTGCCGTTATTCTTGTTGGACTCATCGACGATGGAGATGAATCAATATTATTATGTGTTTGAGTTGATGATATTGAACGACTAATAGTACGTTTACCATTTGGATAGACAGCAACTGTTCGTTTATTTTGTAATCGTGCTCGACCTTTTCCATGTTGTGCTAATAATTGTTGTTGTCTCTTTCGACCATCATCATCAATTTTAACTAAACGTTGTTCATCAACCCATTCATCCCAATTTGTTGACCAACCACAATAATGTAGCTTATATTCTGGACGATAATTATCTTTCATTCTCTGATCAATACATTTTGCTTCATAGAGTAATAGACCATGGTAGCATAGATAATGTTCATTTTTTTTAAAACGATATTTTGGTGTTGATAATTCATTATCAATTGATAGTACATCAACCATAGGCGGTTGATGTCTTGTCGAATTTTCTATAACATCATGTTCTAGATCATTCTCATCATTTTCTAATATATCGTCTTTGATCATTTGTGAAAATCTAAAACAATAAATATTTGAAGAAAAGAAGAGTATCCCTAGGATAGGTAGTAAATACTGTTGTTTTTTGCATTATAAATACACAAATATACCCACGTAACCAAGGAGAGACGTTCTTCCATGGAGTACAAGTTCATACTATCCGTCATTCAGTAAAAAAGGGTAGCGAAGTAAATAACTTTTTTTCTCTTTGTTGCCAAGGATTTCAATGATCTAAGCTTTATATTTCCAGAATACAAGCGGAATAAATTTCATTATATAATTTTAAAACATCTTACATACTTGACATTTATTTAAAATCATAAGATCAAAAAAGATAATAAATATAAAAATAAAAGCTTTTTTCCTACTGAGACTGCATATTTTCACTATTTTTCCAAGAAAAAAATAAAAATGATATGTTATTTAAAAATCAAGTATACTGCATTAAAATGAATACTGTAGAAAGCTTGACAAATCACTGTTCAAAAAAATCAAATAAATATTAGAAATTTTTTTTATCGGATTTCTACACCGCATTTAAAGAGAAAAGAAAAAAAATATTCAAAAATAAAATAAGATGATTGTTGCAAGTCATTTTAACTGTCAAGTAAAACACCTGTTCCTCTTTGTGCTTCTTGTCGTCGAAGTGGAGATCGAATTATGCCTGAAAAAAAATAAACAATAACAGATCAACTAAGGATGCACAATATAATTTGTCTTCTATCTGTTACCAGTAATAATAGTTCCTATTCCAAGAACAACACATATCATTATATTTGATAATAATACTTTATCATGTTTAAAAATTAAAAATTCTTGTACTTTTGTTATGACTATTCCAGATATCTAAAAAGAATATTAAATTGATTGGTAATTTAAAAAAACCACAGGAAATTGCAGTTGTATCATGTTTATAGTCTTTAAAATAAGACTAACGAGGGAACCTTTCCAGGTGTCCAACCGCTTTTCTAATGAAATGCGGTAGTTTATAGGTAATCGACCATGCTGATTCCGAATATGATAGTCGTTTTCGCCCATAGACCTTTCCTAACCGGTTTCTGGGAAACTGGTTTTCCAGAAACCTCGAAAAATCCTCAAGAGTTTTCCTAAATGAGTCACAGCTGTAGCCCACGAAATCCTGATTAAAATGAGACATCTTCCAGCTCTTCACGACCTTTCTTTGCAAAGTTATAGAATTTACAAGAAAAGCCCTAAATGTTTGTTGTCACCTCAGAGCTACAGAAAGAAGGAAAGATGAATTTAGGGCCTTTCTTGTGAATACTATAACTTTGCAAAGAAAGGTCGTGAAGAGCTGGGAGATGTCTCATTTTAATCAGGATTTCGTGGGCTACAGCTGTGACTCATTTAGGAAAACTCTTGGGGATTTTTCGAGGTTTCTGGAAAACCAGTTTCCCAGAAACTGGTTAGGAAAGGTCTATGGACAAAAACGACTATCATATTCGGAATCAGCATGGTCGATTACCTATAAACTACCGCATTTCGTTAGAAAAGCGGTTGGACACCTGGAAAGGTTCCCTCGTTAGTCTAATTTCTAACAACGTGGCGGTTTACGTCTACATACTTGAGCTGCTATGTTTAATAAACTTCCTGAAATAGCCTCATTCTGTGGATAGGTTATTTCTACGCCATATTCAAATCCAATCGGAAGATAACCCGTCATAAAGAAACTAAATAGAAGAGAAAGAATTATTAATTATTCGTTTCTACATACGATAATATATTTCGTTTTATCATACCCAAGTAGAGCCATTGTGAAAAACACTACATATTTGTGGATTTGAATTGTAAATGTAAACAATACCATTGATAAAAATGAAAGGAAATAAACAATAAGGGTAACTGCTCTGAAAATGATATGTACTCAATGAGGCATGCTTTCGATTTAAATTAACTGTTTTACTTGTAAGCTTTTGATTGATCAAGGACAAATCCAGCTAATAACGATCCAACAATTCCAGATAAGATTAACAGCATCCCACTCAAACCTGCATAACGACTTGCTGTTTCAGTTTGTTTCTAAATAAATAAAACACTATTATTTAAACTATGTTTCTTTTTTTCTCGTATTTTTTCTTACATCATAGTACGATAAGTAAATTGGATTAAGTAGTGTCGAAATAGCGTAAAATGCTCCTGCGTTCAGACCTACAAAGGATGCTCAAGATACAATATGCAATGACTTATTCTTTCAAAGATGATTTACCATATGAAAGTAATAACAAAATAAACCATCGATTACTAACTGAATGTTTTAATGTGTTGCCATAATTCTGTTGAACTCTTTGTAATGCTTGAGCTTGTGCTCGACTGGGTGGAGTTGGCGGAAGACGCTTAAAAACTAAATAGAACGCAATACGATTAATGTATAAAAGTTTAATACTGTGTTATCTCATACCTATCACCATCGCAATAAAAATAAAAGTGCAAATAGTAGCAACGGAATAGAATAAAATTCTTAAGCGTTCACCAATTAAATCTACATTGTCTACCTGAGGCATAAGTGATGAAGGTATCACACAACCCAAGGCTATGCCAACCTGTTGTAAAAACAAGTATAAATAATAAGTGTAAAATAAGAAAGATGCAGCTATACAGTTTGCAGACACTCTTTAGTTAAAAGAAAGGGTGTCAATTGTTTTGATCACCAAACGCTTTTAGATACAAATGATCACCAAAGAAAGATACTTTTGATCACCAAATTTTCCAGCATCACATTTTTATACATATAAACATATAAATTTTAACAAAGACAATATTTTCACAGTTTTATTTACATTTATTTACAAATTTAAAGCTTTGCTAACTTTCTTGGGGCGTCCTTTTGTTTTTTCGTTTGCCCAATGGTTGAATACGTGTTTTATCGCTAACTTGATACAAG